AATGCTTCAATCTTCTCATTAAAAAGTGAATGTATTAGTGCATAAACGTACTCACGTAACAATCTCACCATGCGTTCTTGAAATACATTGAATAAACGACCACCACTTAATTTATCCCGTAAGTTACCTTTCAAATGCTGCAAACAAAATGCATGATGAACATTTGGAAAAAATTTTGGCATTGCCTCTAAGAGACCCAAGTTGCGATCAGATACAAATGTAACAACCCAAGACTTATCCAACATATTAGACAACAGTTCTAAAAATCAAACTAGTTTACCTCATTCTCCAAGTCAACCACAACAAATGCCAAAGGAAACAAACTTGGAAAAATGCAACACATACAATATTAGTGAAAATTAAAATAAAAAACAGTGTAACAGATGAGATGGTAATTCGAAAATATTTTTGGGTGGTGAATGGTAATAATCCACTATTTCATATCATTGTGTAACACCAACAGTGTAACAATAACACAAGCAGAGTGTAACAACAAAATTGTAACAATACAACAAACAGAGTGTAACAAAGACAGTATAACATAAATATTACAATTTAACCACAAAATTTATCATTCAAAGAACCTTATTAAAATATATCTTGGTTGCCATCTTTTCCTGTAGCNATAACATAAATATTACAATTTAACCACAAAATTTATCATTCAAAGAACCTTATTAAAATATACCTTGGTTGCCATCTTTTCCTGTAGCCAATAAAAGATTACCTCTATACCTGCCTTTCAAAAATGTGTCATCCAAAAAAAGTAGTAGACGACAATAATTAAACCCATAAATACAACCCTTAAAGGAAAAAAAATAGCATTTTGAAACGATTAGTATCATAATCACAATCTAACACAATATGGTTGTCCGGATTAGTACGATTTGATACATCGACATACCAACGTAATTGTTGGTACGATAATGAATGGTCCCCAAAAAGCATACATTTTACTTTTTCAACTCCTTCCCATGCTTTATCATAAGAAATGATGAGTCCATAATCAGAAAAAAAATAAAAAATCAGTAATCACTTCCGTTGGACGTGCTATGCCCATGAACACGATCAACAATAAGATTTGCAACCAATTTAGAACTCATTCGCTTGTTATCTGTCTTCGTAGATCCACACCACAAATGTGTTTGTTGTCCAATTTTCTAATATAAAAAAAATCAGTATATCTCTCCACAGTTGCATATATATGTCACCCACACCCAGAAGAATACTTAAATGAACATTCAGCAATAATCTTTTTTTTACAATTCCTTACATAATTAAATTTAAAACCAGACTTAATCGAGTATTTGTAAAATGCTTTCCAAAACTGTACCACACCACCTTCAAATTTTTGTCCTACGTGTCGTATTTCGAAGAACTTTCTCATTGTGACCAATAAAACTGGGTAACAAATTCACTTCACATTCAACAACATCACCAATATTCACATACTACAATGAATCATCACCACTCACCGACCCACCCTCGGTATCTTATACAAACACATTAACTTCAACGTAATTTTCAGGAAAACAACATTTCAATTCAACCAAATTCTTCAAATCAGCATCGGTTCGTAGCACGCATGAGGGGTGACCAGGAATAGAATATGACATGTACTGACAAGTTAAACAATTCCTCTCACGTCTCGCAAACTTTGCGAATTAGCTTCGAAAAATTTGAATTACCACCTACTTTGAATACTTTAATAGCATTACCATATATACATAACAACAACACCGTTTCCTCCATTGCCAACAAACTATTAAAAGAATAGGTACAATAAAAAGTCAAATAAAAAACATATATCCAAACAAATAAAAACTGAAAAAAAATTATACATATTCATTTAGTATGCTAATAGATTAAATGTAATATACCTTGTAATTTCTGTTATGATATTGTCAGACTAAATGCTTCAGTCTTCGGCTGGAACAAAATCTCAAACACATACGTTTGAAGAACAATATTGGCTTGCAGATGAAAGTAGAAGAAGATAAAAATTAAAAGTGTAAAGTGTTAAAATTGTCTCGCAGGTGACGAAGAAAATTGACTTCAATCTTGAAGAAACTTTGCTTCATGCACAAATATATCAGTGTTTGTTTCAAGGTTTCACCCTTAAAAATACTAGTGTAATGTCGATGAAAAACAATATCGACTTATAGCTGGATGGAGAAGAAGCATTACTTGCCTCAAGACTTGAAGAAGAAGCAAAATCATCTTGCAGGTGATGAAAGAATATACTCAGCTTTTCCTAGAATAAACCCAAAAATATACCCAGTTTTTCAAAAAAAAAAAACAAGCATATAATTCCCTCTTAAAAAAGAATAAATTTAAGTGTATTTAAAATTTAAAATTTTATTGAAAAGTGTTGTATTTCTTTCTCATAAAACTAAGACTTATTTAATACATAAATATAATTTAAAAACTAATGTCTTTTCAATAAAAAAATACACATTCACCAATAGAGGACAAAAATATCACAATAAAAATAAATAAATTTAAATTATATACTTGAATACAAATAAGTACTAAAATTAAATACTTAATAACTCTATATTTATTTGTGTAGACTTTTTATCAAATAAATCTAAGTTAATGTACCCCTTACAATTTATCCAACTATAAATAAGCATATATATATAAATAAGCATATATAAAAGATCGGTTGTGTCTGTAAACCATTATAAAACAAAATCGTCAAATCGACCAATTTTGCATAAAATCGATCAAATTATCAAATATTAAATAGCAAACCACTTTATATAACCGGTTGTGTCGGTGAACCATTATAGCCTCCAGGTGCTGTGTTTTTTCTTGAGTAGCCGATGTGGGATAGATAGCATGTTGTTGTGTTTTTTTTAAGCTTTTTCTTTCCATCTTTTTATATTTTAGAGTATATTTTTAGTATTTGCTATTCAATATTTGATGTAATTTTTTATAAATTATCTAAGAGACTGATAAATTGTGAAATTTTTGTCCTTTTATTTGATCTACTATTATATTAAACATTTTATCTCTATAATCATTAAATTTTTTTAGCATATTCATTTAATTTTTGTATTTTTTTTATATGATCGATCCGACTAATTGAACTAACGATTAAACCATTGACTTGAGTCTTTTTGTCACGTCGATAACCAATCCGATTCTGATAAAACTGTTTCAAATCTCATAACTATTATTACACACCAATAAAATAAATAAATAATATATATTTTTTATTTGGTTCCCCCATTTTGAAATGGGTGGGGTTATGAATTACGTTTTCGCAATATGCTTGCACTATTTCTCTTTGTTTGTTTGGTTCATGTCATTAAATAATTTTGTCTTGTGTCATTCACTTCAACTGCCAAGCCAACTACTTCAATGTTAAATATTTACCACACCCTTCTGGATCTGTATGTATCTGATGGGACATGCCTAGCTCACATTGCCCAACTCTCCAATATGCATATATCGTTCATTAAACGGCGACTAATTTGAATATAAAAGGTTGGGATTAGTTTATTTACATTTTAATTAATTTTTTTTTAATCTGATCAGATCAAAAATAGATCATTCACGTCGCACGTCAAAATTAAAATATTGCCAATTGTTCGATTCTTAATCCTAATGCGTAGTTGTGGATTTGTCCATCTAGGCTCTTGCCTACCTCCAAATCGATATTTTTTTTGTGGGTGAAATAATATTTATTTATAATATAAAATATGTTAGTTTTTAATAAATTTATCCGATAGTCTCAAATAAATTTATTTAATAGTTACTAATACTCTTCTTAAAATTATTTACATTATATTGTGCATTCAAACAGAAGTTACCTTTAATCTATATAATAAAGTAGTTTACAATTTAAATTTTAAAAGATAAACAAAATGATTTTTATTTTTTAAAGTTCTAATCGATTTAAATTTTACTTTAAAGTTAATCTAACGGCTAATATTAACACCCTATATTTAATAGAAAAAATAGGTTATTGAGGGTGTGTTTGGAGTGATTTTTTAAAAATATTTTTAAAAATTATTTTTTAAAAATATTTAAAAAATAAAATAATTTTTAAAACCGTCCCACCACTACTTCTACCACCACCACCACCTCTACCTTTATCACCACTGCCGCAACTGCCAACACAGCCACCACCACCATTACTACAGTCATTACCACTCACCACCGTTACTACGGTCATTCCTATTACAAGAGGAATAGGAGGAAACACCGAAGATGACCAAACAAATAATCTGCATAAAAAGGCAAAAGTGAGATCCTCTCTCTCCTTTGGCAAGACTTTGATCAATCTAATGTAAGCCATGCTTTCAGTGGTGAAACCCAAAAGATCGAAAAGATCTATAGATGGAATGGTCAGAAAAAGAACTTGTCCTATTCTCCCTGGCTGCGAGAATTACGATGGTATTAATTTTATCTCATATTTAATTTTGTATTATATTCATTTATGTATAATAAACACTTATTAATTAATAGAATCATTTTTTGTACTAAAAGGCAACCAAACAAGCCCTTAAAAAACTGACAACTTTAAAATGACAATAATTAATTGAGAATGAATATTTTCTCGTCTCCTGGATTGCCTAGTTGTAGCTTAGGTTGATAATCAATTCGAGTCTATCTAGCTCATACAAAAAAGAGTCTGAAAAATTGTTTAAGTTCGATTCGTTTAAAAAATAAGTCGAGTTCGATCCGAGCTAAACTCAAGTTAAATTTATTTTAAACGAATTTAAAAAAATTATTCAATCTTAATTCATTTAATCATGTTATCAGCGCCAGTTGTGTCACTCTTTTATTAACACTCGGCCAAGCAGTTCGAGAGCGTTACAGTTCTTCGGTTCATCAATGCCCCCAACTTCCCACCTTCTGAGCCACCAACCTCTTGTATTGACATATATAAATGGTAATGATGGCAGTCCTTCAACGTAAACTCTCCCGGCTCTTCTCTTCTCTTCTCTTTTCTCTCTCTCTCCTCTGAGAACCCATACAAGCCCACCATGGATGGAGTACTAAGAAGTGATGTGAAGGTGGATGTAAGTACAAGGAGGGTAAGGTGTTATGATTTGCTTCTTCGGATTCTGGGGTTGGCCTTGACAATGGTGGCTGCAATTGTGGCTGGTGTTAATAAAGAGACTGAGACCATTCCTGTCACTCTTGTGGACGGCATGCCTCCTTTGCGTGTCCCGGTAACTGCTAAGTGGCAGCAAATGTCATCTACTGTGTGAGTAATTTTTCACTCTCTTATCTCTCTTCTTCCATATGTATGCAAGATTTCGAATGGTTAATTGTTGAGAAATAGTTATGGTATTATTTAAAAGTACTGGTCGATAGTAATACAAGTCGGTCAAGTCATATTTGACTCGATATTTTTCGAGATGACATTATTATATGAGTCTCGTATGATTCGATCGAATTATATTCGAGTCAATTCCGAGTTGCCGAATTATCGTCACTAAATTGATCGGTTCTCGTCATGTTCAATTTTTTTTTAGGTTGTATCGTCTGATACCGCGCCTCCGAGTCAACGGCCAAATCGGTCAATTTTCGTCATGAATTTCTTAGTTCTGAATTCGGAAAGAAAATTAGTCGAAATGCATATAAGTTGACTTAAATATACTGATTGCAATACTTGGAAAAAAAAAAAAAAAAAACAGAAGATACTCTTAATAGGACCCATTTTTTTTTTTTTTTTGCGGGTAAAAAAAAAAGGTGGGGGTATATGAGTGCACCCAGAGACTATATCAATAAACTGGTGAAATCACAAAGTTTCTAACTGCACCTGTTAAATTTAACCATTTAACTTCAAAGTGAAAAATTCAACCAATACTCCTTGTCGGTGGTAACTAATACCCATTTGATTATGGTGGGTGCACTTGAGAGAGTAGATGCTGACTATAGTTGTCTATCACCGTTGTGAGAAGTCAAATGCCAACTGTAAATCTGGGACACCCTGGGGTTCCTTCCTTCAATACGGACCCACGCATTGATCTCTAAACAAGGTTACCCCTGCCCCTTGACTACAATTGTAGACTAATGAAAAGCATACCCATTAATGTGGAGGACTAGATCATAGTATAAAGCATTTCACTATGCTAACTACCAATCTCTATCATATATGCACCCCATTAACGCCCTGACCTACCCCCCAAAAAAGAGAGAAATTCATGCTCGATTTGATGTCAGGTTTTAATACTGGATAAAATATGATATATATATATATAGAAATGTCCTTAAAATCGACTTGTCACAAACACTAATTCTCCCACATAACTTTGATTTTTCAGATACTTTGTCACGTCCAATGCTATAGCATGTGCATACTCAGCGATATCATTGGTACTCCTTTTGGCGACGAGGAATAGGAAAAACAATGTTGCATTGGCACTTCTTATGTTGGACCTCATCATGGTGGCGCTGCTCTTCTCCGCCAACGGGGCAGCAGCGGGAATCGGAATCATCGCACTTAATGGGAACTCACACGTCCAGTGGCACAAGGTGTGCAATGTTTTTCCCAATTACTGCCGCCGTGGTGCAGCTTCCATCGTGATGTCTATGCTTGGATCCGTGGTCTTTCTTTGGCTGGTGGTGCTTGCTGCTTTAGACCTTCACAGAAAATCTAGGTGAAGTAGAATTAGGGGGTGGTCTAATAAGCAGTTTTTTCACTGCACTGGTGGTGGTCTTTATTAAATCAATCGTATGGCTATTGGACTAGCTGTTAATGCTTAGTTGTGCTTGTGCTTGTGCTTGTTTACTAGCTACATTTGTACCCAAACAATTATATAAATCTTGCATTGATGTGCTAATATTGTAGCAAACTTTGCTACAGACACACAAACCGCGTACATGAGCACATAGACAAACACAGATTATTTTCATGATCTTTATTGCGTAACATTTTGAACTCACCTTAAAGGAGGAAAGAGTAAATGGAAAGCCAAACCATCCCAATCATGTTCTTGGAATTGGCAGAATTTGCTCAAGTTAAGGTCAGCCATCAGACCTCACATTTGCCATATAACTGGAAGAGGGGAGAGAACTCACCTGTGGCAAAACAACTGGCATCCACTTGGTCCATTGGTACTAAATTGGAGCACAAATATCATAGTGGCCCCACACCTACCAGCCAATGCCAAAGTAAATTGCATTGTTGACAACAATCAATGGTATTGGCCTTCTATTGGTTCACTGAGCTAATGGAAATTTCTTAGTTCATGCCCAACTATTCACCTTCCTCACAGAGAGATGATTTAGTCAAACGGACGCCTGTAGCTAATGGCCTCTTTTCTACCCCATTAGCTTGGAATATTCTAAGGATGCCTGCCCCTGTGGGCCTGGTATCACCTCGTATGGTATGGTCAATCTATCCCCAGAATGAGCTTATACTCTGGTTAGCCATCAGACTTCAGACTTAGCACAAGGGATAGTACTCACATGTTCAATCACCAAGGTAGAGTGGAGTGCATACTATGCAGGCAAGCAGTAGTCGCACGTGCATTTATTCTTTGAATGCCCATTTTCCCAAACCTGTCTGGGCACATATCATGAGGTTGTGTGGAGAGCAATGGCAAGTCAGGCCTTGGCAAGAGATGATTACACATGCGCTCAAGTCTGTGGAGAGGAAAAACCTTGCAAATCGTGCTTCAAAAACTCAGTCTTGCTGTAACTGTTTACCACATATGGATGGAGAGAAACTATAGACTTCATCAAAATCTATCAAGAAACCAGCTCTCCCTTCTTAATTGCCCAGACCATAAAAAATAGAGTTGCTTCTCTTTAATTCAAATCTTCCCCCATTAATATGAAGTTAGCTCAAGCATGGCAGCTACCCACCAATTGCTTGGAGTAATTGGCTGATGGAAACCAGAAAGATCCCCCTCAGTTTGGTTTGTTTTTGATTGGCATCATGTACTCAATGGTATAGTGTTATCAGCGCTCTTTTATCATAGAATTTCGAGGGAAGTGATGATACACAAAATCGGTTTGCACACCACTAGTCAATTAAGTAACATGAAATGAAGTAAAGTAGAGAGAAAGAAATAGAAGACAAGGTTTATAGTGGTTCGGCCGTAGCCTACGTCCACTTTGAATGACTAGGTTTGCCGAAATTTTATTATCTCCGGTGTGGAGGGAAAGCACATGATTACAAGTTTTGAAAAGGGAGGAGAGAATTATAATCAAATGCATCCGCCCCAGTATTGTGGGAGCTTACAATTTATAGTGGCTTGGCATAGTAATTGTATGACTAGTCTGACGGTCATAATAGCTTAGGACCGTTTGATAGTAATTAGGTAGCTGATCTGGCGGAGGCGACCTATCATCTTCTCAACAGACGAGGTGTGACGGTTGGTGTGCTCTCTAAAGGACTTGTTCAATGATGAGAGAGGTTGACTCTCTCCAAGTTGCGAGAGTGAGGCTCTTGGATGCTCCCTTGGTGGTGAGGGTAAGGTTCCTAGATGCTCTCTTAGTGGCGTAGAGGAGGCTCTTGGATGACCCTTACTTCAAGGTGGTAGATGACCTTCTTGGATGACCCTTACTTCAAGGTGGTAGAGGAAGCTCTTAGATGACCCTTACTCCAAGGTGGTAGGGGAGGCTTTTGGATGACCGTGCATGCTCCCCTGCTGATGTAGCTCCTTGATCTTGATAAGGTTATCCGGGTATAGATTCCTTTGAGGTTGACTAGCTGGATCTCTTGGAATTGGGTCTTTAGCTCGGACCAGACTTATAACATGGGTTGGGCCTGGCCCATCATTTGCCCCCCAATGCCCTGCGTCAAACAGAACTTTGAAAGGAGAGCATTTAAGTTGAATTTGAATTTTCGACTGACCGGCATAATTAGAAAAACTTCGAGAGGCCAAAATATCCGTTTATAGGCCTTTTTTGGACTTTTAACAATATCATTCACAAAGCATTGGTTGTGAGTATTGTAGAGCTCGCCGAGAGTTTCGATTTAATATATTATAAATCTCATTTCGAGCAACGAAGCAAAAATTACGGTCAAAACTTTGAGCTAGAGATAGGTACATGGTTTTAGGCGAGCAGAGCACTTCTGAGCGGGCACATACTGTGCTAGGCAAGCAGAAAGCCTCTTGGTCGAGCTGAATTTTTTTTTTTAAAAAAAAAAAATAACTTCTAGAGGCCAAAACACCTCTTTCTGTGGGCGCTTTTTGGACTTTTTTTAAAATCTCATTACCATAAGTAATGAGTTTTGCTCAGCTCATCGAGAGCTTCGATTTGGTAATATAATAACTCATGTTTTGAGTTTCAGATCAAGAGTTACGGTCAAAATAACGTACAACTCTTTTTAAATTCGAATTTTCTGAAAACTGCCCTTGATCGGCGACCTCCTCCCTTCCAATAGACTCCTTTTTCTTGTAGGACTCCATTGACTATATAAACTCCCTCATTCCTTTTTTTTTTTTCGAACAATGTCGAATGGTGGAGATCATGTGCTAAGGTCTGCAAATCTTGTTGTGCAACTTGGAAATGTTGGTGTTGTCCCCTGGAGAAGAGATGGATGTGCATGGCCCGCAGGACTTGCTACTGGGCGAGGGCTGGGCACCCATGTTGGCGAGGCAACGGAGACCTTGGGTGAACTGGTTGCTTGTGAGGCTGGCGGTCTAGGCAGCCTTGGTGATCTGGGCGAGCAAACCAGGGAGGCCCCTGTTGTGTTGGGCAGTCCTTTAGGCGAGTAGAGCTTGGGCAATCATGTCTTGGGTGAGCAGGACTTGGGTGCAGGCTGCAAGGAGAGGTGCTGGGCAAGCACTTCTGTTGGTCAGGGATTGGGCGTTGAGGCCCAGGTGCAGGGCACCTAGGTTGAGGCGACCCAGGCGAGCACGAAGCCCTCGAACGAGTGGAGCAACTCTGGGGAGTGCACCGATGGGTGCCTTGGTGCTGTTGTATGCGTGAACCAACTAGGCGAGCATCCTACTGTGCTTGGGTGAGCAATCTGCTGTGCTTGGCATCTTGGGCAAGCATAGGTATGCCTTAGTCGCTAATCCAGACGAGCAAGGAGGAGGAAAAAGGGTTGGTCTTGGTGTGTAAGCGCCATAGAGCACCATTTTGGGTGAGCACAAAGGGTTAGGTGCCCCTCCAGGCGCTAATAGAGGGGGTCAGGCACTTCTTGGCGCCGCTAGCCATGCGTCTCAGGCGTTAAGTGCTAGATGGATGAGGCCCCGATTGTTGATATTCAATTTAAGGTAATCCCTCGGGTTGCAGACGACTTGAGTTTCAAGATCCTGACTAGAGATGACAAAAATAATGTTATTCCAAATATTTAAAATATCTAACATAATTACCTAGAGAAAAGTAGGCTACTTGCGCGAGAGCAAAGACAGAGTTTGAGGACTGCTCGTGAGAGAGCTTCACCTTTTGAGATCGAGTCGTTTAGCAACTCATGAGAGAGTTCAGTGCAGAGACCAAGCTTTTGGGCGACCCGCGAAAGAGCCGCTAAGCAAGGGATATAGGCTGCCTGTTTGAGAACAGTGCAGAGGCCAAGCTTTTGGGCGACCCGCGAGAGAGCTGCTAAGCTAGGGATTTAGGCTGCTTGTTTGAGAACAGTGCAGAGACCAAGCTTTTGGACGACCCACGAGAGAGCCGCTAAACTTGGGATGTAGGCTGCCTGTTTGAGAACAATATAGAGGCCGAGCTTTCGGTGACCCGCGATAGAGCCGCTAAACTTGGGATGTAGGTTGCCTGTGTTGGGAACAGTGCAGAGGTCAAGTTTTTGGCGATTCGCGAGATGATTCACCTCGCTCAAACCTGTTGATTTCTTCAGTATTCATATATTTTTGAACTTTTGCCAATAGTTCTGGCATGTTCTTTGATGGTCGCTTCATCACTGAGAAAAGGAAGTTTGACGAGCGAAGGACTCCCAAGAAGGTGGTCATTGTTACTTTGTCATTAGGCTCCTCAACTTGGAGGGCCTCCTCGTTAAAACGAGTGAGGTAACTCCTTAGGCTCTCGTCTCGGTCTTGCTTTATGCTAAGTAGGTGGGTAACAGGCTTCTGGTGGTAGAGAAGAAGGTAGGGTGCCTGGTGAGGAGAGCTGGTCTCCAGGAGGGGAGAGCAGGGCGCCAGGAGAGGAGAGCAGGGCGCCTGGAGAGGAGAGCTAGTCTCCAAGAAGGGAGAGCAGAGCGCCTGGAGAGGAGAGCTGGTCTCTAGGAAGGGAAAATAGGGCACCTGGAGAGGAGAGCTGGTCTCCAGGAGGGGGAGAGCAGGGCACCAGGAGAGAAGAGCAGGGCACTTGGAGAGGAGAGCTGGTCTCTAGGAAGGGAGAGCAGGGCGCCAGGAGAGAAGATCAGGGCGCCTAAAGGGGAAAGCTGGTCTCCAGGAGGGGCTTGGGCGCCAAGCCTGGACACCTGCCCTGTATGCCTGGGCACCTGTGCTGTCTTGGGCACTTGCCTCATTATTCTCCTCTTCTTCTGCTGGTATAAGCTCAGCAACAAAATTTGCTAGTGCTTGTGCTATGATGGTCGCCCTTGGCTGGTATTGAATATCGAACTCCCCAAGTTCTACTGCCCATTCTTGGAGTCTCCTAGATACATCTGGTTTTCCCAAGACTCTCTTCAAAGGTTGGTCTCTCCTGTGCTGGTTCTCACCCTCCTCCTCTTGGAAGAGAGGGTCTATACCATAAGAAAGGGGAGCTGGAGGAAGAGCTGGATGTCCCTCGTGGGAGCTCTCCTGTGCTGGGCACCTAGTGGGGCTCCAAAGGGGACGCCCAAATGAGAAGCACTCATGTGGGGAGCTCCTTGACGNGAGGCCCCTGTTGTGTTGGGCAGTCCTTTAGGCGAGTAGAGCTTGGGCAATCATGCCTTGGGTGAGCAGGACTTGGGTGCAGGCTGCAAGGAGAGGTGCTGGGCAAGCACTTCTGTTGGTCAGGGATTGGGCGTTGAGGCCCAGGTGCAGGGCACCTANTAGGCGAGTAGAGCTTGGGCAATCATGTCTTGGGTGAGCAGGACTTAGGTGCAGGCTGCAAGGAGAGGTGCTGGGCAAGCACTTCTGTTGGTCAGGGATTGGGCGTTGAGGCCCAGGTGCAGGGCACCCAGGTTGAGGCGACCCAGGCGAGCACGAAGCCCTCGAACGAGTGGAGCAACTCTGGGGAGTGCACCGATGGGTGCCTTGGTGCTGTTGTATGCGTGAACCAACTAGGCGAGCATCCTACTGTGCTTGGGTGAGCAATCTGCTGTGCTTGGCATCTTGGGCAAGCATAGGTATGCCTTAGTCGCTAATCCAGACGAGCAAGGAGGAGGAAAAAGGGTTGGTCTTGGTGTGTAAGCGCCATAGAGCACCATTTTGGGTGAGCACAAAGGGTTAGGTGCCCCTCCAGGCGCTAATAGAGGGGGTCAGGCACTTCTTGGCGCCGCTAGCCATGCGTCTCAGGCGTTAAGTGCTAGATGGATGAGGCCCCGATTGTTGATATTCAATTTAAGGTAATCCCTCGGGTTGCAGACGACTTGAGTTTCAAGATCCTGACTAGAGATGACAAAAATAATGTTATTCCAAATATTTAAAATATCTAACATAATTACCTAGAGAAAAGTAGGCTACTTGCGCGAGAGCAAAGACAGAGTTTGAGGACTGCTCGTGAGAGAGCTTCACCTTTTGAGATCGAGTCGTTTAGCAACTCATGAGAGAGTTCAGTGCAGAGACCAAGCTTTTGGGCGACCCGCGAAAGAGCCGCTAAGCAAGGGATATAGGCTGCCTGTTTGAGAACAGTGCAGAGGCCAAGCTTTTGGGCGACCCGCGAGAGAGCTGCTAAGCTAGGGATTTAGGCTGCTTGTTTGAGAATAGTGCAGAGACCAAGCTTTTGGACGACCCGCGAGAGAGCCGCTAAACTTGGGATGTAGGCTGCCTGTTTGAGAACAATATAGAGGCCGAGCTTTCGGTGACCCGCGATAGAGCCGCTAAAGTTGGGATGTAGGTTGCCTGTGTTGGGAACAGTGCAGAGGTCAAGTTTTTGGCGATTCGCGAGATGATTCACCTCGCTCAAACCTGTTGATTTCTTCAGTATTCATATATTTTTGAACTTTTGCCAATAGTTCTGGCATGCTCTTTGGTGGTCGCTTCATCACTGAGAAAAGGAAGTTTGACGAGCGAAGGCCTCCCAAGAAAGTGGTCATTGTTACTTTGTCATCAGGCTCCTCAACTTGGAGGGCCTCCTCGTTAAAACGAGTGAGGTAACTCCTTAGGCTCTCGTCTCGGTCTTGCTTTATGCTAAGTAGGTGGGTAACAGACTTCTGGTGGTAGAGAAGAAGGTAGGGCGCCTGGTGAGGAGAGCTGGTCTCCAGGAGGGGAGAGCAGGGCGCCAGGAGAGGAGAGCAGGGCGCCTGGAGAGGAGAGCTAGTCTCCAAGAAGGGAGAGCAGAGCGCCTGGAGAGGAGAGCTGGTCTCTAGGAAGGGAAAATAGGGCACCTGGAGAGGAGAGCTGGTCTCCAGGAGGGGGAGAGCAGGGCACCAGGAGAGAAGAGCAGGGCACTTGGAGAGGAGAGCTGGTCTGTAGGAAGGGAGAGCAGGGCGCCAAGAGAGAAGATCAGGGCGCCTAAAGGGGAAAGCTGGTCTCCAGGAGGGGCTTGGGCGCCAAGCCTAGACACCTGCCCTGTGTGCCTGGGCACCTGTGCTGTCTTGGGCACTTGCCTCATTATTCTCCTCTTCTTCTGCTGGTATAAGCTCAGCAACAAAATTTGCTAATGCTTGTGCTATGATGGCCGCCCTTGGTTGGTATTGAATATCGAACTCCCCAAGTTCTACTGCCCATTCTTGGAGTCTCCTAGATACATCTGGTTTTCTCAAGACTCTCTTCAAAGGTTGGTCTCTCCTGTGCTGGTTCTCACCCTCCTCCTCTTGGAAAAGAGGGTCTATACCATAAGAAGGGGGAGCTGGAGGAAGAGTTGGATGTCCCTCGTGGGAGCTCTCCTGTGCTGGGCACCTAGTGGGGCTCCCAAGGGGCTCCAAAGGGGACGCCCAAATGAGAAGCACTCATGTGGGGAGCTCCTTGACGCCCAGGGCGTAGAGCTCCTCGAGTTTGAGGTTCAGGTTGTGCTCCTCCTTGCCCAGCGAGCATTAGCTGCAGGATCTGCTGGTTCTGGGACGGAAGTTGTTGCATGGTCTCGAACATCTGCTGCGCATTTAGGGCAGGATTGGTTGGTTGAGGAGTAACCTCCTCCTCTCTTGATGGTTGATTATCTTCAAGCTGATTCATGGATCTGGATCTGATGGTGATCGTCATTGATTCAGCAAATGAAGTGTTTAAAAGTGAGAATTTTGTCGTTCCCACAGAAGGTGTCAAACTGATGATGCACAAAATCGATTTGCACACCACTAGTCATTTAAGTAACATTTGAGTTTGACTAACTGGATCTCTTGAAATTGGGCCTTTAGCTCGAACCAAACTTATAACATGGGTTGGGCTGGCCCATCAGGAAGTATCGATTCCAGGCCTTTACTTCCTTCAGAATTCTACACCCTTCGAGCTCTCTGCCTTTTGTATAGGTTGCAAAGTTACAATAGGTGATACCTATTGTATTTTGTAAGGGTATCACCCTGACACACATGTATATGTCTGCCTGTTGATCAATGGAATTTTTTTATTTTCTGACACAAAACATTTTGTAATTCAAAAAAAAAAAAAAGTGTTCATTAAATATGCAACTTAAAATCAATTCTCAATGAGTGAAGAGAGGCTTTTTTTTTTTTTTTGGGGAAAGTGAGAGAGGCTTATAAAACTCATATACTAGATCGAGATGTGCTATTTTATCAATGTGGAACACAAACTCTAAACAACCATTATTTTTTTTGAAGGGCACACCTTTTCCATTTTTTTACGTGCAGAAATTGTCCCAAGTGCATGTTCTTTGTATTCATCACTCCAACACACCTCAAATACACATAACCACGCGCAAACTACGTGCATCTGGATGTTAAGTGGCTAGAAAGACTCAAACTCAGGTAATGCGAGTTTCCAACTCACTTCTTATTCGATTATTGAAATAACTCAGCACGCATTAATCACATTTCTACAGTGTTGAAAAGATTTAGGGCTGTTCTTGGGAAATATTCAAGTATTAGTTTTTGTGTGGTGGTTTTGCTTTGAATATGCCTCTGCCAATCATAATTATGTAACTCAAATATTGAAGATCATGGATCCACAATTTCAGTTTGTACAGATTTCAAGCTGAGAACATTTGTGCCTGTTGATGACATGAAGAAGAAGTAATCAGCAATGGACTTTGGATGGATGTACTAGTCTCTGAATTCCCTTTTCATAGGTAAGGTTTCTATGACGAAAGATAAGTCTGGAGAGCTCGGATGAATGAGGGTAAGGGTCAAGCATTTGGGCAGGCGGGACAAGTGTGTCAATTGACCAATGGCAAGAAGAAAAATAATTTTTATATGAGACTCTGTTTGGTTTATAACAGAATACTTAGATTTGATATGCTATACTTTCTACTTAACTTATTCACACTGTCATATTCGCATGATTTTAAGACAAATAACCTACATGTATAATAGATTTCACATTTTGAACTGAGAGACTTAAACATTCCAATCCTTTTGCTTTCACAAGCCATTTTTAAACATATTCAGATGAAAAATTATATGATTACTTAGACATCAGATGCAACATAAACTACCAGACAGAATTCTGATATCATCACTACATACCAGCATTTCATTGATCCATCTTAGCAAAACGTCCCTTGATTCTGGTCCTACTTTCTGCCCGAACCTTCCGTGATTCATATCTGATGTGCTTATCATACCTGCATATATGAATTAAGAAATTCGATTATGTAAGTCCAAATATGACGACAAAGTTATATACGAGGGCTTGTGCTTTATGCAGATTGATAATTAATGACATCCCCATTTAATCCCAGATATATGCAATGATCATGTATGGTTAACTGATCACTGAAAGAAAGAGTTATTGTATCGATCCGGTAAATTACTGAATGACTGAGGCTTTCCAGACCATCACAGCATCCATCTTGGGAAAAGCTCCGTGTATTAGCATTATTAATTGTTTAGTAAGGAAACAGGAACAAAATAATCACATGCAACCTAGTAGCTCTTATGTTTTCAATAAGTATTATGGTATTATAGTTAACTCATATTTTTTTCAAAAAATTAATTAGAGAATAAAAGCATGACCTTCATTCTGTTGCTGAAAAATTGAGCTTTACAAACAAAGTCACTAGTGGATTCCCCAAATTATTTCTGCTTATTTTCGACATAATTCCAATTGCCAAGCTTACTCTAATTCTAAATTTTTCTCAAACTCACGGCTAGGCGCCATAAATCTCCCGGAAAGAATCATGGAGCAAAGAATAATGTAAATACCTCCTAGTTTTCTTCTTCTCCTTGTACCGGGAGAGTGCAAAGTCTCGGTCTTGGCTGTTTAACTCCCGTGCAGCAACTTTAGGAAAGACTTCTAAGGTTTCAGTACAAACAGGATTACACGGTTGTCCTTCATGACCACCATTGGCATGACCTAAACTGTCACCAATATCTGAATCTTTGTCTGGAACCAAACGGTTTGTATCAACATAGCTTCCATATAAGGAAGAAGGAAGATTTTGATCTTCCATCTCACCAGTCTCAGTGCACCACTGAAATGCGCTTACCTGCAAGCAGAAACAATGATCAATCACTTTTGCTTTCCTGTTTTATTTTCTGCACTTTTTATCTCTCCTTTTTTCTTAATTTTTGGGATGAAGAACTTCCCTATTACATCTTTTTCGAAGCCATGAAGGTGGAGGAGCATAATAATTAAGAATGTACATCCAGTCAAGACTGGTGTAAAGTAAGCAAAACAGGTTTTGTTGTGGAGGTAACTGGTGGTGCAATAATTGAAGTAGAAGAAAAAACAAAAATAGAATAGACGGGTTTTTTTTTAGGCAAGACATGTCCAACACACTACCTGCGAAATAGTAATTTCCCCACTATGATGCAGATGGATGAACTCACGAAAATTTTATGCCTCCGATACAATGCCTAGCACAAAACTTTCTAAGACTGTTTCTTAGAAGTCTTTGAACGTAGAACTCAATCCAAATGAAAATCAGAAAGTAGATTAGAAAATAGGAAAAAGAAAAGTCTCTTCAAATTCATAGGAAGAGTTGTGGCTATTCATTTAAATGGCCAATAGACACTAATTTAGAGGGGTTATAGCCCTTGGTTAAGTGACCTTTTGAGATAAATTGTCAATAGTCACTTTAACCACCAATAAATAATTAAATATACAATATATCATTGTTAGAAAATATCATATATACAACCACCACAAGGTAGAAAAACATCCAACAGTGAAAGAAATTTCGACCATCCAAAAGGGGTGGAATAGAGAAAGAAAGAGGAGGGGGGGGGGAGGATTATCACCTTAAAAAATGAAAGATAGCCACCACCAAGACTATTGTGATATTGAGTGCTAAAAAGTAATCTCAAATTGATGTTATGGGTATATTAACCTAAAAAATCTGGCCAACGAGACATTCGTTTGATGATATAACTACCCATCTTGCACCTTTCTCCTAAAGCCAGAATAGCAAAAGCTTTATACCACCACCAGTCATAATTCTACCAGCAATGATTGTAAAAGAAAGATTTGTGGCATCGCTCACCATTAAACCATGCAACATAGAGGCCTACGGAATAACTCAATTACAGACCCATTTAACACACCCATCCACTATTTAGCTGCCAATTATACCATTGTTCCTTTCTTCTTAAACAGATATAGACAACAGAACCATAAAAGGACACAAGACCAAGAATTTATTGGCAAACAGTCACAAAATCAATCATCCACTTGTGAATGTAGCTAGACATGTTACAGATACCACAAACAGATTACAGAAGGCTTGAATGCATTCTCCTTTCAACCCTGGCGGATGAGCAAATGTAAATGCCAACCTGAACAAAACACATATTCTTTCTTAATAGCTTCCTCAATAGCGTGTAGGCTCCTCTAATTTTCCCGCTCTTTCTCACAAGCCAGTTCCCACTATTACCCACGTTAAGCCATCACTAACCCCCTAATGTGCGTTGCCTATTCGTATAGATGCCATACAAATCTAACTAGAAAGACAAACGGGTTTGCAGAGAGAGGAAAATAAGCTGTACCTCATAAGAAGGAGTCAAGGTTGGCTCTGCACCATGTTCAAAACCTGAACATATATCCCCCAATTGGAGGTTTTGTTCAGGTACGAGAGATTGAAATCCAGTGAGGGGTTCAATGTCTCCTTGATCATCATTAAAGGTTGGTTCCAACTTCGCCATTTCACGAAGCTGACGAAGCATTTCTTCCTTTTGTTGTCCACAAGAAGCGTTTCGATTCTGATTCCATAACAATATCCTGAAGCAAGTTAGAACTTACAATAACCAAAATACAAGCACGGTGAGGTGAGCACCACAATGTGTCTCATTCCCAATATAATAGTACCTCGACTTAGCATGAAATCAACTGCTATTACCAACAAATCGTCCATTAATGAAATGAGAGAGCAATCAGTGAATTCTTTTTTTTTTTTTTGCTAGTGAAAAAAAGGAGTGAAAACAAGGAAGAGTGTCTAGCGACCATCCCAATTGGTTTTCACCGATGAGATCATAAGGCTTCTGACCATGCCTGTAATATCTCTCGAGATTGGACCTAGTTAGGCTAGCATAGAGGTCAATCACCAAATCCCAATAAGAATTTCAAGGCTTGAATTCCCGACCTCAACATAAAGAGTAACGCCGGTACCCCACTATACCACCCTACTTGATTTTTGAGCAATCAATGAATTCAACATGGAAAATGTTAACCTATCTTTGTTTATCTAAACAAA